CTCACTCTTTATTCCTCCACTGGATATAATATATGTCCTACAGTCGATTTCAGACACACATTATGCTGTTGCCCTTGTGGGGTTGAGAAAAGAAAACGTATTATTATGGCACGTCTAGATGGCCGGAAATTCATTCAGATTTAAAATTGTGTATATAATTTTCCTTTTATCTCCATTTTTATTTTATTATTATTGTTTCACAGACTTAAAACTGTGTATACAATTTTCTTTTTATCTCCATTTTTATATACTTTTTTTCGACAAAGTTGATGGGGTCCCGGGCCGAGGGGGGGGGGGGACTCGTCGGGCCGACGGACCCCTCACTTTAATCTTTATAATATGATATATGCCCTACAGTCGATTTCAGAAACACATTATGATGTTATTTATCAACAAAGTCAGATCACAGACGGACAATACTGCTAGAGTAATATGGCAAAACAAACGTGTTTATTAACTGATACCAACAAGGTAACCAACAGCAACGAACAGCACAATGGAAGAGAGCGATAAAGTCACACTCGCCGATAGAGGGCAAGTTGTGCTACTGGCGTGACTACTTTTTCTTTTCCTTTAAACCACTTTAAACATCCACAGTAGCACGCACTGATGTCTAAACTAAAACAATGTTAAACAGGCTCTCAAAGAATAGTACAAATTGTACGGTAATAACATACTTGTACTTAAGGTACAAAGCCTAATGGAAAATCAGTTACAAGTGTACTTAAGGTACTGAAGCCTAATCTAAAATGCAGTCCCATATGTATTAAGGTACGAAAGTCTAATCTAAAATGCAGTCACTGAACCTGGCTGGAAGACGGTGTCTTCTCTTGGGACGTCGTAGAACAGGTCCAAATGGATGGATGAGTCTGGCTGGAGAATGTTGAAAGGTGAGGACGGCAGGTCCAAGTTTGATGGAGTGAAAATTTCACGCGGTACACCAGAGGGAACCGGGGCAGGCTTCTGGGGATGTTCCGTGAGCTTCTCACCGCAAGCGCGGGTACATGTGGCCATGGGGGGGAGGGGAGGGGATAAGGGGAATCGGAAGTGGGCACAGTAAAACATTCAGAGCGCTTGACGCGATACGAAGTACTGAGTTGTGAGCCAACAAACTTCCGAATACTGCACCAAGCACCATCCACGTCAATCACAAGGTAGCGTTGACGAACCTGGGACTTGTTACCGTCAGATGAAAACTAGATCTCCAATCTGCACAGTAGTATCTGGTGCTGTCCGAAACGTAGAGGCCTTGGACCTTTCGCTATAGGGGTGGTTAGATAAGCGCCGGTCATGTTAGGAAAGTAGAAGCTCGCGGTCAGAAACAGGAATTTGCTTGTGCGAGAATTGATCGCGCTGTGTCCACATTTCGCGAGCCGACAATCCGCTAGCGCGAATCCGGGTGTTGAGTTGGGCAGTAGCGATGGAGAGGGTACCATCAGACACCGGGCCGCCGCGCGGATCCTTGCGGAGTAACTCAACTTTGAGTTCTTGAACACCCCTTTCTGCAACTGGGTTCTTATTGACATTCTTAATTCGCCCAACTTCAACAAATATTCTGTGATCTTTTAATAGCGTGTTGTCGACAAGGGCTGAAAAACCTGGAGAAGGATCAGTGCGTATCGTAGCGGGGGAACATCTAAGGGACGTAATTCAATATATAGACGAAGCAGTGCATCGCGTAGGGTGTCGTGGCGCTCGTTTTCAATCAGACAAGACAAAGTGTAGAACGTTACAACCTCCCTCAAAAGAAGTATGAGCTGACATTCGCGCTTTATGACATCAGCTGCAAACGCGATTCCAACAACCTCCGGTGGGTCCCCAGTGGTCTGATCAATCATGGTATGAGGTATGCGACGCAAGGCAGCACACTGATGACACGAGTCGGAAACTTGGTCAATATACTTGTATAAATCAAGGGCGAAGAAATAGCGGCGAACAGATAGTTTGAGCTGGTGACTAGTGGGGTGGTCGAGACGAATGTGAAGGGCAGTAAGGACCCTCAATGATAGATCTGGGGACTATGATACATTCCTTAGTAGCTGCCAGAGGCTCACAACGGGCGACTAAAAGGTTGTCCCTGCCAATAGACGCAACATTGAGATATCTTTTGATATCTTTGAGGGACGAGTACCCTGTATTAGGTGAGCCCTAACTCTTCTGAGGTCTGAGCACTCATTCTGGAGAGCTAGCCAAGCTGTCTTGTTAGTAAAAGGTAACCGGGCATCTCCTAAAATTACATCTCGTGTGGAAGTGCGCAGTACGACAGATTCCTGATTATGGTGAACAAAAGAACAAATCTGGCAGTTGTCAGAGTCACACATGGGTGCATTGCGACTTGCAAAGTCGGAGGGTATGTTAGCTGATCCTGCCAGATGCCTAATAGTTACATGACAGCGACTAGCAATGGAAAGAAAAGTAGAGACGCGCGGCGAAACTGAGAACTGCCCACGACATAACTTCTCCAAAGCCTGCACACACGGCTTACTATCAAATCCATGCATTGTGCTTGGATTGGACAATGTACTTGCTGAAGTATTTAGTAGCTAAGGCGATAGCTAGTGCTTCTATCTCACAGGGTAACCAAGTTACTTGTCGGGCACGTAATTTAGCACTAAAAAACCCAGCCAGTCGTGGCTTGTCATTGTTAGTAACATAGAGGGTAGCACCTAAGCCATGCTTCTTAACTGAGCCATCAGTGACTATCCACAGCTGATCGTCAGGATGGGGAAGGACGATCGTTCTGTTTGAGGAAAGATCAGACTGAGCATCTTTACAGGCCTCGCGCAAGGGAGTAGACCAAACCAAAACATCTTGTGATTGACGTCCGGAAACGGCATCGTCCAGTGGGTCAAGGAATGAAGCGCATTGGGGAATCACTCGAGCCAGAACCTTATAAGAATCAATGAAGGACCTAAGGCCCTTAACGTTTTTAGGAGGGTCGCACGAAGCTAAGGTTGACACCCGATGTGGACTTGCGCGAATAGTCCCTTGAGACCATATCCATCCGAGGATGATAGTAGACTTAGGACATATGACAGTTTTAGTTGCAAATAAGCTGAGTCCGGACTCATACATGGCCTGCAGGAGGCGGTGCCATTTGTGTAGCAGTTCTTCATGGGAGTTGCCTCCAAAATACAGATCATCAGGTTTGGCGACAACTCCTTCCTTGAGTAAATCACCCAGAACTCGACAGGTAAGCTCCTCGAGGGCAGTCTCGGACCCTGGCATGCCCATAGCACAATGCGCATGAACTCTGACACCCTTAAATGGAGTGGCAACGCCACAGTACTTCATTGACGCACGGGACAGAGGGATCTGATAAAATGCCTTTGTGAGATCAGTCGTTATGATATGCTTCCACTTAGCGATATGACGCAAGACAGAGTTAACATCTGGCATAAGAGATGGTTGGGGTTTTGCGTACCGTCCAACCTCTGAAAATGCGGTGACAAGGCGAAACCCACCACTAGCTTTCTTAACTAAAAAAGAAGGGTTAATATATTCCATATTAATGTTAACATCCTCGGGGCGAACAAAAACACCCAGACGTTCGAGCTCATCAAACGTGTCTTGTAGTGCAACCAGTTTGTCGCGCGGGTACTGGAGAACCCGACCTTTACGTTGGGGGGGGGGGTTGAACAGGACCCATGTTAACAACAGCCTGGAAGGGACCAACATTACCGTTATAGCCTTTTATCATGGGAATCAAAGACGTTATCATACTCTTGATTAAGAGACTGAAACTTACACCTAACGTCTGGTGGTAAAGGCCATTTGGGTCTAACAAAACCTTGTCAGAGTGCGGAAGCAATGGCTGCGACACGGATGGGGTGGTATTAGATCGTGGTTGTGTTTTTTGTACGCTATTGTCTGATGGAGGAACATATATAGGTCTAACTTGACACAAATGTTCGTGGCGTCAGACTACCTGCGGAAGGTTGGTAAAGTTAGGGATGCGAACCCTGCCAGCTACGCTGGACACAACATCAAAACCGGGCCAAGCTTTCAGCTCATCACCTGGTTGTGTATGGGGTTCAAGCGCAAAGTCAGAGTCTGGAAAAGCAAGATCAGTCGGTAAAGCTACTTCGATGTACTCGCCTGGCCATACAGTTGATGTGGCCGGTGGTGCACGCAGGACTTGCGCACGACGCACAGTAAGATCTGAAGGGTGTTTGGGAGAGCCATAATGGTAGATGTCATCGCCTACGATAACCTGACGCTTAGAAGGGTGAATGGACACATCATTAACCTCTATAAAGGGAGTCCCGCCCAACACATCAACATCTAGCTTTTCGAGGACAAGTCCTTCGAATAGCAAATTTTTCCCATTCCGTGAAAACTGTAGAGAAGTTTCCCCAACTACCTTAAGAGGGGACATGCCATCAGCCTGGTGTGCAGATTGGGAAGACTCCTTAATAACTACCCCCAAGGCAGTAGCTGCAGAAAGGGAAATCATGTTGCCGGTGGCACCACTATCAATAGTGATACGTGCGGTATGATGGTCATGGAATACGTCAATATATGGGGACTGGCGTACCTGGACACGCATGGTGGTAACAGGAGGCATTTGGTTAATTGGCACTGAATCAATGTTTTCATCACTGTCATCATTGGCGATAACCTGTCTAGATTTAATTATGTATCTGCGATCAGATTCAGGTAGAAAGGGACACTCACTCAGGAAGTGTTGGTCAGGGCGACCACCCTGTTTGCATAGGGGGCATGATCTACGTGTCTGTACTCGGGACTTAAGAGATGGCTGAGGACGTGGTGGAGGAACTGATGTAGAGAACGACATGCGAGGACGAGACTGTCTCTTATACACATCTAGATGTGTATAAGAGACAGCCTAAGGCCCTTAACGTTTTTAGGAGGGTCGCACGAAGCTAAGGTTGACACCCGATGTGGACTTGCGCGAATAGTCCCTTGAGACCATATCCAACTCGGTACCATACCGCTGTTTAACCAGACGGGGTAAGTCTTTATTGATGAGGGAGAGCCATGTGAGAACGATCATATTTTCAAGAGAAGGAGATAATTCTTCATCCTCGGTGATCGGTTCACCATGATGTGAAATTCCACCATCACGACGCAACAAATTATCATCAATAAACGCGATAAGGCGTTAATACAAATCCTCAGGGCGTTCATCTGGTTCTAAAGATATACTAGCCAAAGCGATAAAGTGGGCACCGGTGGACTGAAAACCATAGTGAAGACGGATCATTTGCCAAATGTTGGGGAGAGAAGTAGAAGTCCTAATAATGGTATTTCTCGATATGACAGGACAGTAATTCGCAATCTGTCCTAGCATAAGCATATCATGCTTAGCTTTTGTTGAGCCGTACGGCGACGGTCTTTGGGAATATCATTCCCATCGTCTACAAAATCACGCATGGGAGCCGCTCGAGTGTGTGGCCTCCATGTACTACCAGCAGTCAGAAATCTAGCAAAATTCGGATCTAATGACAAGGTGTATTGGAGGTTCTGTCTAAAATTCTCAAAGGAATTGATAGTTTCTGATTTGGTAAGGCTCCACTGTTTCGGAGCTCGTTGTAAAGCCATAATAAACTAAGTAGCGTTTCCAGCTGTACGTTTACAACAACCGTCTGGCCCATGTTAACAAGAAATGCGCGCAAAATTTGAGGTTTTTAGGCACTTTCAGGGGATGAAAAGGGCATTTATAAAGGGGTGGGAAGATTTTTCAAAGATAGATATTGTCCCCTTGTTCCCCAGTGGTTACGCCATCGGCCAGCATAGATCAAAGGCGTTATGACAGTTTTTGAAGTGGAGAACCTTGCAGGGTGTTGTGAGTCTGGTCATTATGATATCTTCCTTTTTATTCTTGTCTTTATTTTCTCTTCTCTTTTTCTTTTTCTTTCCTTTTCTTTTTCTCTTCTTTCTCTTTCCCTCCCTCTCCCCTCTTTCTTTTCTCTCATTACCCAGTCCGGTACGACGGTTTGGTCAGCCCGGTAAAAACCGTCAGGGGATGGGCAGTTTTCCCCTCCCCCCGCGCCTGTTACGACACTGGCTAACACGCCAATCATCCCCCCGCCCATGAAAAATACTTTTCTACGCCACTGACGTCATTAAAATTGTAGTCAATTCCACACCTACAGTAGCATAATTTATCTGTTAAATGTAGGCGAAGCATTTGTCTTTATCGTAAATCGCCGTGCCAACCTTGAGCAGCTGTGCCCAAAATCATGTAGTTTTTGCGCATGCGCTAAAATTTTTGCGCTGCAAACGTGTGGTTTTTTACATTGTTATTATTGTTAATTTGTTATCGTTATTTTTATTTTTAGTATTTAGATAGCGCCTATTGTCAAAATTGTTTTAGGCATGAAGAGGACATTTTGGTATTCGTTATATTATAACAAATTTTAATGTGAACTTTAATTATATTTTAGCATGTTAATTTTGTAAAACAGGATGCGTTTAAGACAGTTTACGCTTTTTTGTTGTAGTTGGATATTTGAATGCGGCGCTGACTCTAGTCTTCTGGTTATTGGGCAAAATGAAGCTAAACGATGTTATTATATATTTGATAGCGCAATTTATAGGAGCATGTTTGGCCGAAGCTTTTATTTTTGGTTTATATAGAGGTAAGGATTCATAATGAGCATCAACACAATCTTCACCACAATGATAGGAAACATGATCTGTATTATTATAATCTCCAAATACAAAATTATCATCAGCATCATCTTCAACCAAATGTTGATGAATGATGATGCTGTTGATGACGACGATGGTGATGCTGACAATTATCATACTGATGATGCTGATGGTGACGAGACGATGGCAGCGACAATGACGAAGACGGCGATAATGACGAAGACGGCGATAATGAAAAGACGGAAAATTGCGCTGAACTGCGCCATCCATTATCAGGCTAAAAATAAAATATTGTTGTGTTGCCTAAATCTGCGACTTTTAAAAAATCAAGTTAGGCAGACATGCCTTATTATTGCAACTAGGCCTATAACTTAAATATACATACACAAAAATTGACCCTAGATTTTGCAGTTAGGCAATACAATGTTTTTACTTTTTGAATCATCACCCTCAACAACAGCCAAAAACTCTCTGCAATTGCAGGAAAAAAGATGAATGTCCACTCTCTGGAAATTGCCTCTCCTCATCCATCATCTACAAAGCCACTGTCTACTCAGATGATGACAA